CGGTAGTGTAGCGGTTAGCGCGCTGCTGTGCTACGAACCTGGCGACCCGGGTTCGATTCCCGCTCACGGCCAACACCGGTGGCGATTATCTTAATCCGTCCTAGGCCTCCTCCCTTAGGTCGACTCAGCCTCAACAAGAGTATCTAGGTGCGGTGTGTAAACATCGCCACTCGGAAGACAAAGGTGGCCGAGCGTGGTGCTGGGCACCCACCCCCTTTGTGTGCCTTTCCGCCTTCATAGGTGTTACGCGCGCATCGTGTGTGTCTTTGTGTGTGTGTGTGCGCGTGCGTGTGTGCGCGTGTGTGTGTGCGCGTGCGTGTGTGCGCGTGTGCGTGTGTGCGTGCGTGTGTGTGTGTGCGCTCACGCCTTTGCCAACCAGAGACACCGCAAGGTACACAACCCCAGACGTGTACGTTCCACACAGCGCCGAGATGCCTCTCCGATTGACGCATCACGGCACACGTGACAGACGCGACGCACTGAACCTGCGGGTAGGCGGAGCCTTGCCCCTTTAACTGCGGGCCCAATCAAAGACCTCCAATCCCCCCACCCCTCCCCCTTGCGTGGCCGTCTGGAACGCTCTTTTTTCCGATATTAGGAAGCCACAGCAGCTATGCACTTTGAAATCCTCTCGATTGGAAAGTCAATTATTTAAAACTGTCCTCCTCCCACCCCGCCACACCTCCGATTAGCACCGTTGGCTGGGTACGGTGCGAAAGAAGTTCAACGTGCATCCACCCGCACCTCGGTGGTCACTTCTGCCCCTTTGCTAGAGCGAGGGAGGGCGGCTTGCAGCGGCCCTCTCAAGTGACATTCAAACCCTGCGTCGTTGTGGTCACCTACGGAAGATACGCTCACCATCTAGGTCTCGATCAGTGCGGCTAAGCTGCCTGCGAACGACGGACAGACAGATGGTCGGTTTCCGAGCCGATTCGATCGCGGTGGTGGCGGGTAGTCAGGACCCGTGTCGTCGCGGGCCTGGATAACGCGAAGTCACGGGACGGACGTTCTACACCGCTGCTTGAGCGGAACGTTTCGAAATGCGAGCCCACCAGAATACTACAACGAGGAGCCACTGGCGGAGTGCGTTGATTGGCACACTAATTGGTAGTGCTGTAACACTGACTGGTACACTAATTGGTAGTGCTGTAACAATGACTGGTACACTAATTAGTAGTGCTGTAACACTGGTCCACTAATTAGTAGTGCTGTAACACTGGTACACTAATTAGTAGTGCTGTAACACTGCTGGTACACTAATTGGTAGTGCTGTAACACTGCTGGTACACTAATTGGTAGTGCTGTAACACTGGTACACTAATTGGTAGTGCTGTAACACTGACTGGTACACTTATTGGTAGTGCTGTAACACTGGTACACTAATTGGTAGTGCTGTAACACTGGTACACTAATTGGTAGTGCTGTAACACTGGTACACTAATTAGTAGTGTTGTAACACTGGTACACTAATTGGTAGTGCTGTAACACTGGTACACTAATTGGTAGTGCTGTAACACTGACTGGTACACTAATTAGTAGTGCTGTAACACTGGTACACTAATTGGTAGTGCTGTAATACTGACTGATACACTAATTGGTAGTGCTGTAACACTGGTACACTAATTGGTAGTGCTGTAACACTGACTGGTACACTAATTGGTAGTGCTGTAACACTGGTACACTAATTGGTAGTGCTGTAACACTGGTACACTAATTGGTAGTGCTGTAACACTGGTACACTAATTGGTAGTGCTGTAACATTGGTACACTAATTGGTAGTGCTGTAACACTGGTACACTAATTGATAGTTGTGTAACACTGGTACACTAATTGGTAGTGCTGTAGCACTGACTGGTACACTAATTGGTAGTGCTGTAACACTGCTGGTAGACTAATTGGTAGTGCTGTAACACTGACTGGTACACTAATTGGTAGTTGTGTAACACTGGTACACTAATTGGTAGTGTTGTAGCACTGACTGGTACACTAATTGGTAGTGCTGTAACACTAACTGGTACACTTATTGGTAGTGCTGTAACACTTGTACACTAATTGGTAGTGATGTAACACTGGTACACTAATTGGTAGTGCTGTAACACTGACTGGTACACTAATTAGTAGTGCTGTAACACTGGTACACTAATTGGTAGTGCTGTAACACTGGTACACTAATTGGTAGTGCTGTAACACTGGTACACTAATTGGTAGTGCTGTAACACTGGTACACTAATTGGTAGTGCTGTAACACTGGTACACTAATTTGCTAGTTGTGTAACACTGGTACACTAATTGGTAGTGCTGTAGCACTGACTGGTACACTAATTGGTAGTGCTGTAACACTGCTGGTACACTAATTGGTAGTGCTGTAACACTGACTGGTACACTAATTGGTAGTTGTGTAACACTGGTACACTAATTGGTAGTGCTGTAGCACTGACTGGTACACTAATTGGTAGTGCTGTAACACTAACTGGTACACTTATTGGTAGTGCTGTAACACTGGTACACTAATTGGTAGTGCTGTAACACTGGTACACTAATTGGTAGTGATGTAACACTGACTGGTACACTAATTGCTAGTTGTGTAACACTGGTACACTAATTGGTAGTGCTGTAGCACTGACTGGTACACTAATTGGTAGTGCTGTAACACTAACTGGTACACTAATTGGTAGTGCTGTAACACTTACTGGTACACTAATTGGTAGTGCTGTAACACTGACTGGTACACTAATTGGTAGTGCTGTAACACTGGTACACTAATTTGTAGTGCTGTAACACTGGCACACTAATTGGTAGTGCTGTAACACTGGTATACTAATTGGTAGTGCTGTAACACTGGTACACTTATTAGTAGTGCAGTAACACTGACTGGTACACTAATTAGTAGTGCTGTAACACTGGTACACTAATTGGTAGTGCTGTAACACTGGTACACTAATTGGTAGTGCTGTAACACTTACTGGTACACTAATTGGTAGTGCTGTAACACTGACTGGTACACTAATTAGTAGTGCTGTAACACTGGCACACTAATTGGTAGTGCTGTAACACTGGTACACTAATTAGTAGTGCTGTAACACTGGTACACTAATTAGTAGTGCTGTAACACTGGTACACTAATTAGTAGTGCTGTAACACTGGTACACTAATTAGTAGTGCTGTAACACTGGTACACTAATTAGTAGTGCTGTAACACTGGCACACTAATTGGTAGTGCTGTAACACTGGTACACTAATTGGTAGTGCTGTAACACTGGTACACTATTTGGTAGTGCTGTAACACTGGTACACTAATTAGTAGTGCTGTAACAATGGTAGTAGTGCTGTAACACTGGTACACTAATTAGTAGTGCTGTAACACTGGTACACTAATTAGTAGTGCTGTAACACTGGCACACTAATTGGTAGTGCTGTAACAATGACTGGTACACTAATTGGTAGTGCTGTAACACTGGCACACTAATTGGTAGTGCTGTAACACTGGCACACTAATTGGTAGTGCTGTAACACTGGCACACTAATTGGTAGTGCTGTAACACTGGCACACTAATTGGTAGTGCTGTAACACTGACTGGCACACTAATTAGTAGTGCTGTAACACTGACACACTAATTGGTAGTGCTGTAACACTGGTACACTAATTAGTAGTGCTGTACCATTGGTACACTAATTAGTAGTGCTGTAACACTGACTGGTACACTAATTGGTAGTGCTGTAACACTGATACACTAATTAGTAGTGCTGTAACACTGGTACACTAATTGGTAGTGCTGTAACACTGGTACACTAATTGGTAGTGCTGTAACACTGGTACACTAATTGGTAGTGCTGTAACACTGACTGGTACACTAATTGGTAGTGCTGTAACACTGGCACACTAATTGGTAGTGCTGTAACACTGACTGGTACACTAATTGGTAGTGCTGTAACACTGACTGGTACACTAATTGGTAGTGCTGTAACACTGGTACACTAATTGGTAGTGCTGTAACACTGACTGGTACACTAATTGGTAGTGCTGTAACACTGGTACACTAATTGGTAGTGCTGTAACACTGACACACTAATTGGTAGTGCTGTAACACTGGCACACTAATTTGTAGTGCTGTAACACTGACTGGTACACTAATTGGTAGTGCTGTAACACTGGTACACTAATTGGTAGTGCTGTTACACTGGTACACTAATTGGTAGTGCTGTAACACTGACTGGTACACTAATTGGTAGTGCTGTAACACTGACTGGCACACTGTGACGCGTCCCTTTTAGCACACACATCGCCTTAATACTGAAACAATACGGTACTGTTCATGATATATATACAAACTATCTGTATATTTATATATTTCCAAATATATATATAAAACTCAACAGTATCATGTCAAAGCGCGTGTACACTTGTAACGGATTCAAGAGATGTTCATGGGACGCGGCTCACTTTCAATTTGCGGATCGTACACGCGGCGCTCCCCGTTGGCAGATACAAAGTCAAAGATCCCCCATGTAGCCTCAATAGACTGTTGGGGGAAGTGCTGTTCACGAGCACCTATGAAGGCCGGAACGGCGCACGGGGAGGTGGGTTGCCAGCGCCACGCCCGGAGTCGCCTTCTGTCTCCCGAGTGGCGATGTTTACACATCCCATCAGGTACTGAATTGAGACGGAGTCGACCTAAGGGAGGCTCAGATATTCGTCAACGATGTTGGCCGTGAGCGGGAATCGAAATCGGGTCACCGGGGTCGTAGCGCAGCGCGCTAACCGCTGCGCCACCGCTCTGTGTTGGCAGATTAAAGATCCCCCGTGTAGCCTCAACAGACTGTTGGGGCAAGTGCTGTTAGCGAGCACCTATGAAGGCCGGCACGGCACAAGAGGGGGTGGATTGCCAGCGCCACGCCCGACCGCCTTTGCCTCCCTAGTGGCAATTCTTTTTACACACCGCACCAGGTACCCATTTGAGGCTGAGTCGACCTAGGGGAGGCCCAAGATTGGTTTAAATAGTGGTCACTGGTGTTGGCCGTTCGCGAGAGTCGAACTCGGCTCGCTCCGTGTTGGCAGACATACCACACACGCGCACGGTCGTAAGGGAATGTCCGGGACGACCAAAGCAGAGATGGAGCGACGAGCGAATTCCAGGCGGCATCCGGAGCGCGCGCGCCCGCACGTGCGACGTGGCACCCCGCGAGAGCGCGTGGCGCGGAGAGAGAGAGAGAGAGACGGGGAGATCTTCGTCATCCATTCATCCATCCAGAAGTGGCTCAGCAGGAGCATCTGCACTCGGCTATGATGGGATACTGGATCTTCAGCCACGTGCAGTTCCTGTGCGCGCCCCACCCACGGCAATACCAGCGCAGGATGGCCTTGCTGGTGGAGCGCTGCGCCTTGCAGCTCATGCCCGCGGGGATGGAGCACGAGCGACCGCTCTGGCAGCTGCCCTCGCGCACGTAGCGAGGCCAGAAGCGGCCTCCCAGATCCTTCCACGCGTAGGCCACGGGGCACTGGGTGTAGGCCCACAGGAAGAGCTGCATCTTGCGCCGCGCCTTCCTGCCCAGGGCGCCGGCTCGCGAGCCCCTGGGGTCCGGCCAAGCGGCACGCGCGAAGTCCATGTCCCTGATCTCGCTCGGCATCGCGCGCTCGCGCCGCGCGGCCGCTGCCCCTCGGCCGTGCTGCTCGCCGGGCTCGCTGGCGTTCTTGGCGAGTCCGCGGACTTCGCCCGGAGCCGCCACGGACATGAAGGTCGGATCGAAGTGGCTGCCCAGAAGCCTCCTCAGCACCCTCTCGTCCAGGTCCTTGGTCTTGGGGTCGAGCTCGGGGTCCGGGTACTCGATGAGGTCGGTGAGGGGCAGCTCCTCGCTGGGCACGGGGCGCAGGTGGAGGAAATGTTGCGCGGCGCTGCCCTGGATGCGCAGCAGCAGCAGGGGCAGCAGCAGCAGGGGCAGCAGCAGGAGCAGCGGCGCGCGCGTGGAGGACGCGGACTCCGCGCGCAGGGACTCCGGCATGATGGGCTCGGCGCGCCCATGCGTGACGCTGACGGGCGGTTGGCGACGGGGCTGCGGACGAGTCCCGCGCTCGCTTTTATATTCGCGGTGCGAGGATGGGAGCGCGGCGTGATTCGCGGCCAAAGTTGGTGGAGGCGCGGGTGGAAGGGGGTTGTGGGGGTGGCGGGGGCGGCGAGGCAGCGGGGGGACGAGGGGATGAAAAGGCTGGCCCCGCTGGTCGCATGTCGAGACCCTAATTAGGGCCCATTGTGCCGCGTCGCGTGAAACACACCAAGCTAATTCACTGGCGAAATTCAGAGCGGCCGCGCCGCAGTTTCTATAACAACCGCGGGCCGGCGGCGTCGGCGGCGGCGTCTGCGGGAGGCGCCTCTTGACGTTGGTGGCACGGTGGGGGAGGGAGGAGGAGGAGGGGGGGGGCCGGGGCCCGGGGCGCCCCGTCTAGACTCGCGGCTCTGCCGAGCGGCCCGCGGAACGGGGCCGCGCCAGCCACCGACCCCGCGCCCAGGCGCCTGGCCGCGGCGGTGGTGTTTTATGGCGGCGCTGGGATCGCATCTGCTGCCCGGTGCCGATCTCTTGCCGAGATGGGAGAGAGAGAGTGGTGGTGGTGGGGGCAGCTCGTGGGAGGAGGAGGAGGAGGTCAGCCCCTACCCTGTGCACGGGGGTAGAGTGCGAGTGTTGTTGTTGCTGCTGCTGCTGTGTGGGGGAGCGGTAGCGCGGTGGTCAGCGCGCTATACGCAAGCTCCGGGCACACGCGCTGGCCCGGCTTGTGCTGCGCGCATATTTGTGCCGCGTAGGGAGGGTTGCCGCTGGGGAGGTCCCCCTTCACATTGCCATGGTTTAGATGAGATGCCATGCGTGGAAGGGTTTTAATTTGCCGACACGTTCAAGCAAGCACCATATACATATCACATCCTTATCCTCATGATCCTGGCGACTCGAGTTCGATATCAGACCACGGCTAACATCAGCGGCACAGTAGGTGATATCTAAAGCGGTCTGCAGCTCAATCAAGCTTTGCGTCATTGCCAGCCTGTCTTGCGTGCACCTGGAACGTGTGCGATGACGCCCGCCCCACAAGGGTGTTGCGAGACGGTGGTACGGCACGTCCACCTCGCCTTAGCTTCGTGTTCACGTTGAACTTCTTTCGCACCGTACGTAGCCAACCGCGCGAATCGGAGGTGCCTCGTCTTCTTGCTACCGGGATCTACAAGGCACTGGCGCTCGTCTCCTGTTTGCAGCAGGGGGTGGACATTCCGCGTTCCTATGACGGGGCGAGTCTATCCATAAGTCCACCACGGTTAACTTCCCCACAAGGTGGTACCTACTTTATCGACCCCAGTGGTATGATGAGTCGACCCCCGACCAGGATTTGAACTCGTAACAATTCCACTGAGAGCTATTCGCTCTGCCGTCACCTGGCCGGACAACTCAAGTAGGCTCAGCAATGAGACAACTCTCGCTATATAACGTAGGGTCATTACGGATAGGCGTGCCTTGCACTCTCGTGGTAGTGCCTTACGCCGAGGAGAATCCCGACTCCAAGCCGTGGCTCATTCAACGCGCGGCTCATCCATCGCCTGGCTCATTCAACACGCGGCTCATTCAACGCGCGGCTCATTCAACGCGTGGCTCATTCAACACGCGGCTCATTCAACACGCGGCTCATTCAACACGCGGCTCATTCAACACGCGGCTCATTCAACACGCGGCTCATTCAACGCGTGGCTCATTCAACACGCGGCTCATTCAACGCGTGGCTCATTCAACGCGTGGCTCATTCAACGCGCGGCTCATTCATCGCGTGCCTCATTCATCGCGTGCCTCATTCATCGCCTGGCCCATTCAACGCGCGGCTCATCCATCGCGCGGCTCATTCATCGCGCGGCTCATCCAACGCGTGGCTCATCCATCGTCGTCGCCGCCGTTGTCTCGCCTCGTGTCCGCGGCCAGACCAGGGGCACAATTCCCTTCCCCCGTGGTTACATGCGGGAAGCACCGTGTGGGAAACACGTGCGTGGGGACGGCGTGGGGACGGCGGTCTATCCCCGGGGCCTGGTTTCTTGAGGGGTCTATCCCCGGGGCCTGGTTTCTTGAGGGGTCTATCCCCGGGGCCTGGTTTCTTGAGGGGTCTATCCCCGGGGCCTGGTTTCTTGAGGGGTCTATCCCTGGGGTCTGGTTTCTTGAGGGGTCTATCCCCGGGGTCTGGTTTCTTGAGGGGTCTATCCCTGGGGTCTGGTTTCTTGAGGGGTCTATCCCCGGGGCCTGGTTTCTTGAGAGGGTCTATCCCCGGGGCCTGGTTTCTTGAGGGGTCTATCCCCGGGGCCTGGTTTCTTGAGGGGTCTATCCCCGGGGCCTGGTTTCTTGAGGGGTCTATCCCCGGGGCCTGGTTTCTTGAGGGGTCTATCCCCGGGGCCTGGTTTCTTGAGGGGTCTATCCCCGGGGCCTGGTTTCTTGAGGGGTCTATCCCTGGGGTCTGGTTTCTTGAGGGGTCTATCCCCGGGGTCTGGTTTCTTGAGGGGTCTATCCCTGGGGTCTGGTTTCTTGAGGGGTCTATCCCCGGGGCCTGGTTTCTTGAGGGGTCTATCCCCGGGGTCTGGTTTCTTGAGGGGTCTATCCCCGGGGTCTGGTTTCTTGAGGGGTCTATCCCCGGGGCCTGGTTTCTTGAGGGGTCTATCCCCGGGGCCTGGTTTCTTGAGGGGTCTATCCCCGGGGTCTGGTTTCTTGAGGGGTCTATCCCCGGGGTCTGGTTTCTTGAGGGGTCTCTCCCCGGGGCCTGGTTTCTTGAGGGGTCTATCCCCGGGGTCTGGTTTCTTGAGGGGTCTATCCCCGGGGTCTGGTTTCTTGAGGGGTCTATCCCCGGGGCCTGGTTTCTTGAGGGGTCTATCCCCGGGGTCTGGTTTCTTGAGGGGTCTATCCCCGGGGGCCTGGTTTCTTGAGGGGTCTATCCCCGGGGCCTGGTTTCTTGAGGGGTCTATCCCCGGGGTCTGGTTTCTTGAGGGGTCTATCCCCGGGGGCCTGGTTTCTTGAGGGGTCTATCACCGGGAGGTCTATCGTCAGGGAGTCTATCCCGAGGGGGTCTATCCTCGGGAGGGGGGTGGGCGGGGGGGGTCTATATTCGGGGGGGTCTATCCCTCCAGAGGCGAGGGCACGAGGCGGCCGTGGTGGCGCGCACGACGCCGCAGCAGTGGCGAGCTAATTGTTCAACAAGATTCCGCTTTGTCGCCGCAGCACTTGTGCGCAGCGAGCTGTCAGCAGGACCCCGGGGCGCCTCGCCACCCACTCCCTCCCTGACCCCCCCCTCCTGCCCCCACCAGGGCAGCGTGCAATGTGAAGTTCGTGGTCGTCTCGCTCGTGGGATCGGAGGTGCGGTCCCTGAGACAAATCCCACACCGCGTGGGCCCCCAAAGCGCGGGGCCCGAGGCGCCCGACCCGCCCGCCCGCCCGCCGTGTACCCTCGGCACGGCTCTGGGTGTTGCTGCTGCTGCTGCGTTGGACAGGGCCTCGTGGTTTTAAGGCAGAGTGCGCTCGCCAGTAACGTCTCCCGGCAGGCGATGCTTGATGAGGTGGGGGGGGGGGTTAAGGTGGTGACCCAGGCCCGGTTGGGATCTCTTTATATCACTCCCCACCTGAAATCGTCGCTTCAAGTGCCCAGGTGCGCCGCGGTATTGTCAAAATAACAGCGACGACGGACGCCACCGTTCGCCGGCTGGGACTAGAGCAACTCTCTCTCTCTCCGTGCCGTTGTTCAGCGACCGATCCAGCCCCCAACACCCCTCAACATTGGTCTCGCGGTTGCGGTTACGACAGACGACCGCGAACCCGCAACCCGCGGGCCTGTCAACTTCCTCATGCGCTGTCGGGGATGAGCGAGCGATGGTGGATCGCGCGAGCTCGAAAGCGAAATTCCGTGGTGGGCGGACGACGGGATGGGCTGGAGTAGCCGCACCTGGCGCTGCAGGTCGACAAGATTCTCGATTTTGATTTAAAGCTTTCGTGACTGCAGTAATTCATATTCTTAGCTCTTTCGGTAAAGTCACGTTGAAGGGAAATACTAAAATAATAAAATATATATTGAATAATAAAATATAAATAATAAAATAACTTTTGATTTAAAGCTTTCGTGACTGCAGTAATTCATATTCTTAGTTCTTTCGGTAAAGTCACGTTGAAGGGAAACAACAAAATAATAAAATATATATAAAACAATAAAAATTCTCACGACGTTTCGACCATAACACAAACGGTCGTCTTCAGGTGTGTTATGGTCGAAACGTCGTGAGAATTTTTATTGTTTTATATATATTTTATTATTTTGTTGTTTCCCTTCAACGTGACTTTACCGAAAGAACTAGAATAAATAAAATAAATAAAATATAAATAAAAAATATATAAGACATATATATTATTATTTTATTGTTTCCCTTCAACGTGACTTTACCGAAAGAGCCAAGAATAAGAGCTCGATTGGCGAGCGCTTCGGCTTCACACGAACCCCGCCCTGGTCCCCGCTCGTCCCGAGGAGGAGGACGACGACGACGACGAGGGCGACTCTCGCCTTCGGCATCGTTCTCGCGCGACGGATGGCAGCCGTCGATCAGCACGGGGCGGCTACGTAACGGTGCCAAGGGAATTCGACGGGCGGTACTTGACGTAGCGAGGGGAGGCGCCCCCGTCGGCTGTGTGTCCGGGACCAGTCCTGCGCAACTGCGTCGGCAAGTTTGACATCAGCGCAGTGTGGGGGTCCGGCAGGGGGGGGGGTCCCTTGCTCGAGTTGGGGGCCCCCCTTGAAAGCCACCGTGAGATTTGTTTTCGACAACGGTGTACAAGAAGAACAACACTTATTTTGAGGCGCGGTTTAAGTTTATTTTTCATGGAAATGCTTTCATTTAAGTTCCACGTTTTGTTGTGAAACGTCATATTGCAAGGAGGCATGATGGAGCTCTTTAGTGGCTGCATTATGCGGAGACGGGGGCGCCCCTACAGCGTTAAATGTTCGAGACAGTGAGCAAAAGGAGCCGTGATGTAGAATAGGCGACGGTGCGATAAAAATCAAATATTGGGGCCT